CAAACACAGAGACACAGCAAGGCAAACCTTCCCTTGCTCCTCTGCTCCATCCTTCTTCCTCCCTCCTTTCTTCTCCAGGCTAGTAGATGAACAGCTCCTGGAGGCTGTGCTATCCCTTGAGATCTTGTACTGGACAGGAAGTTCAGCGAAGCAGAGCCGAGAGATTTAGAGTTGTTCAGGACCATGACTTTAAGTGCTTGGGGTGTAAAGAAATACTTTGCTGGGCAATGTATGTTTGTCTGACCTGGATTCATTATTGAAAAAATTAAGAGTTTAGAAATACATTCTGCCGAAAAGAATCTAAATCTGATGAGGAGACAGTGCAGCACAGTGCAGGCTTACCTTTTAAAGCTGCCCATACACCTATAGATTGTCTGCAGACTTTCTGTGGTCAGATGGAAAAAGTGCAACAGATTCCTCCATCTACGCTAAACTGTGTGTATGGAGGAATCTCCCACTGGGCCAAGTTTCAGTATCTTGCTAGTCGGCCCCACTGGCTCTCAAAACACCTGAACAATGCCGGCATCCAATCAGATTGTTCAGGTATTTTGAGAGCCAGTGGGGCCGACTAGCAAGATAGGGAAGCTTGGCCCAGTGGGAGATTCCTCCATCCACACAGTTTAGCCTAGATGGAGGAATCTGTGGCAGTTTTTCCATATGACCATAGAAAATCTGCAGACAATCTATAGGTGTGTGGCCAGCTTTAGTGAGATTTTGGCTACTTTACATTCCCCAGGTCTTGCCAGAAGGAGCATGATGTCACTCTTGCCTAGGCCTCATGGGCATAAGCTGAGGGAAAGGTAAATATATTATGTCAAGTTTTCTACTACAGGTGTTATTTTTCAGTGTTTCAGCAGGGGACACATTTAAAAAGCGGACCTTGCTTTTTCGCTGCTTTAAATACATAAGGTCAATTTAAAAAAATTTTTTTTTTTTACAAAGAAGGTATTTCAAAAGATGTCATATTTTGATTTGACTTTTTATTTTCTTTAGGAATCTCAGCATTTTTTTGTCACCTTGTTGCCATCTGATAAATGCTACCGTGGACAAAGCCCAAAACTACTAAATAAAAGCACAAGATGTTTCTCTGCTCTACGATCAGAAAACATTGGCAAAACCATTTCCCGGGCAGCATACAGAGTCAAATAGAGAGCTAAAGACTGGACGGACTGCGGACCAATGCTTCATATAACAGAGGGATATTTATTACTCTTCAGAAGACTGCTTTATAATGCATCATCTATCCATGGAGAAAGACATGTCTGCATGTTTGTAGCCTCTAGACTGAATTTACCATTGTAATCATTTAGATTGGAAGATTAAGTCCAGTATGACAATGTTTCTAAAGAAACCAAAGCAGAACAGAAATGCAAGCTTGTTCAATTGTATTTTTTTCTCTGTTAATAATTGTTTTTGTTTTCAATAAAGCAAGAGTAACTGATATTGTGGATAGTTGGATATTGGTGATAATAGAATGGGGATGAGTGGTAAACGGTGTATTTTAGAGCTGTAGAGTAATACAAATAGAAAATAGTTTGAGAATACACAGAACTCACGTCTTCAGGAGGTATCGTGCTCAGCGGTCCCCATGCTAGTCTATAAAGAGGATTATGTCCACTAGAGCTGCAACAACTTATCAATTTAATCAATTATAATATATAATGAGAATCGCTGTCAACGATTTCTCATTATCCATTAGTTGACTAACTGTAGATCCTTTAAATATTTTTTTTATCATAAACTTAGGGTGAAAATAGCAATTATTGTTATCATACACAACACAGCACCTTTGCTGCACTGACATCTCAGCCATCATTATCATCCCTGACTGCTGGACTACAATACTCCACCTATCGTTAACCTTCTCTGTCCCTCTATACATGCATTTCTTTTCCAGTAATACTGCTTCCATGACTTCCAAGAGTCTGCTTACATACTATGGGATTCATTTATAAAGGGATGCTATTTACATGGTACTAGCTCCCCTAGATGGCACTGACAAGCATACAAATTCTTATGTTTGTCAGTGCCATCTAGGGGCTCTAGTGGCATTATAAATGAACCCCTATGTGTAGGGAAAGGGCTTACGGGATAATTGGTCCTGGAGGAAAGGGGGGGCATCAATAGGAATTCGACTCCCAGAAGCTGCCCCCACAGGAATTTTACAAACCTGATGATGTCACAGAAAGTGAAAAAAGCTGTTTATTACTACAAAAACAAAGTTAAAGTAATGGTGGGACATGATCTAAAGGCGGAGATAGATGTTTGGGGTAAATTTGGATAATGCCTGGACATGTACTTTAAAGTGTATTTCCACTTTTGCAGCCAAATTGTGTTAACACCTAATTTATATTTGTTACATGTTTCTCATTCACATTGCATCACCTTATTTTTTTTCTACTGCTGCTTGCGCAATACATGCTGTATTCTGAAAGAAACATTGTTCTCTGTACTGAATTTTGCTTTGAAATGCAAGGGGGCTGGGCAGGTTAATGTTAACTTACCCTGTCTGTGCTGTGCTGGCAGATCTCATTATCAGATGTAAACTAGATTTAAAAAATGTCTGCCCCAACAAAAGGTTAAATATCTAGAAGCATTGTATGTTAATGAGAGGGAGCTCAGTCTGTCCTTAGTCTTTCTATAAGGACAGAAAGAGTTTCCTGTCACTTGGAAAATCAGATCGAAGGTTGCAATGGTGTGCTACACAAACATAATTAAAAGGTAAAACATTTTTTAGTATGCTGCATGACTACCAACACAAATATACAGAGGGGATTTCTCAAATTTGACTGCAAAAGTGGAAATACACTTTAAAGCAGGTGTAGGCAAAACTCTGGCCCTCCAGCTGTTGTGGAACTACAGGTCCCATGAGGCATTGCAAGACTCTGACAGCTACGACCCCCAGAGGCAGATGCATGATGGGGTTTGTAGTTTCACCACAGCTGGAGGGCTGGAGTTTGCCTGTGCCTACTTTAAAATAATACGGTCAGAAGAAAGGTGCAGGAGCTGTGATTGCTTGCCTCCTTTTAAAGGACATTTCCACCTTAGTAAGTGGTTTTGAGTTTTTTTGTGGTAATGTAGAGGTGCAGGGGCTGCAGGAAAGAGTCTATAAAATAAAGTATGAAAAACAGCCCTGTAACTCCTGAGAATGTGCACACACATGTACATCCCCCCTGCACCTCACCATTACCATCAAAAACTCAAAATCACTTACCATAGGTGGAAATGTCCTTTAGAAATTCTACTTGCTTGGCTGGGTCTGACTACTTTTAAGCGACAGACCTGAAACATGTATGCTGTAAATGAGTATCAGCAAAGGTCAGAATTCCTTATCTTTATATTTGTTCCAGGTCAGTGACTCAGACAGCATTGATGCCAATGCATCAGCATGACAACCAAAAGTAGAGGTCAGCAAAGACAGTCTACATCATTCTTAGACGGAGCCCCTTGATTTTTAGTTAGATTGGGCTGCTTATGTTTACTGGGAGTCTGCCCACTACTGGACAGCAATAATAATCTAGGTATGTAGCATCTCTAGAAAAAAAAATGGTACCCCTAACTTCACTTCTCTTTAACTTCACCAATGGAAATCACAGTTGGTAACAACCTGACAGTTTGAAGGAGACTTAGAAAAAGCAACAATGAAAAAAATATCAAGTTAAAGTAGATGTAAAGCCTAACTGACATGAAGTTGAAGATGACATGAAGTCTGATTCAGATTTAAAGGAGAACTATAGGGAGAGTGAAATGCACTCATCCCCATAGTTAGAGCCGATGTGTGACACTGCAGCTGTCACACGCCAGCGCTATATATCGAGAACTGATGGATTGCATACCGCTGATAGCTCAGTTCCCGATCTTCTCCCTGCAGAGAGCAGTGGTTGTCAGTTACTGCTCCCCGCAGAGAATCCCCCTTCCCCCAGGGCTGATTGGAGGGTCAAATGGGGAGGGGGCGAGCACAGCTGGCTCTACCTCTAGAGAGGGATTTAGACACGCTTTAAACATTTATTTAGGAACATTTGAATAACCAATTTTGTAGTGTTCACTACATGACATCCCTCAAAAAAATACATATACAAATACACCAATCAGCTATAACATAATCACCACATGCCTAATATGGAGTAGGTCCCTCTTTTGCTGCCAAAACAGCCCTGACCCGTCGAGGCATGGACTCCACTGTACCTCTGAAGGGATGCTGTGGTATCCGGCACCAAGCCATTTGAGCTACAGTAGCTCTTCTATTGGATCAGACTACACAGGCCAGCCTTTGCTTCCCATGTGCATCAATGAGTCTTGGCCGCCCATAACCCTGTCACCGGTTCACTGGTTTCCTTCCTTGGACCACTTTTAGTAGGTCTTGACCACTGCAGACCTGGAACATCCCATGAGAGCTGCAGTTTTGGAGTTGTTCTGACCCATCTAGCCATCACAGTTTGGCCCTTCTCAAAGTTGCTCAAATCCTTACACTTGTCCAATTCTTCTGCTTTCAAAACATCAACTTCAAGGACAAAATGCTAACTTGCTGCCTCATATATCCCACCCACTTCCAGGTGCCATTGTAACGAGATAATCAATGTCATTCACTTCATCTCTCAGTCGTTATAATGTTATGGCTGATCGGAGTATAGTCAAAAGCAAAACATTTTCATTAAAAATCACTCAATGAATTAATAGACTCATACTTTAGATCTGTTTTTATTTTTTACAAAACATATACATATAAATAGCTGCAGCAAATAAAAGTATCAAGAGTAATATTTTTCTATTGGTTCAGTATTTTCATATACAAACAGCAGTCATTTCTGCTAGCTATGGTTAAGTGTTGTCAGTCTCTAGGGAAGCATCATTACATTGGATGTCATCCATTTAAAAATGGTCTGTGCTGCCCATAGCAGCCAAACAAGTTCTATCTGTAATATTCTAATGCAGATAAAATGGTGAAAGACTGATTGTGGATAGTTGCTATTTACACTTGAGGCACAAATATTTTTTTTGCCGGTGGTGCAGAAATATCACACCTTGCATGTGCTCCTCTGATTGTTGAGTTTCAGTTGCCATGTTGTCCTTCTGGCAACAGAATGAAAGCTTGTTAGCTGTCTGATGCTTCTCTCCAAATTTATGATATGGTGGTAATTATTTATGATCACTGAGGAGTCCATGTAAACCTCGCTGGTCGTCTGTGCAGAAACAAGTCCTGCCTCTAAAACATAGATTTTAATTTCTTCTTTTTTGCCTTCATGACTGGAGGTAAAGAGATCTTAAATGCCGTCCTATTTAGAGGAGAGAGGTTTAGTGTAAGAGATCAAAAATTGTTATGTGATGACATTATTAAAATATGCATCATAAATGAGAAGAGCTAAAGCACATAATACTCACTCGCAAGTAGTACAGATGGGACTGAAGTTGCAGAATACTAAAAAGAAACAATAAAGACAGTGGGCACTGAAAAATGTTCAACAGTACACTTTAAGACATGTCTGAAAACTTTATCTACCGGCATCCATATGTTTAACAGTATGTTGTAGAGAAGCAGTGAACAGAGTACAGTTCTGAAATCTGGATAAAGGTGGCATACACTTTACAACCATCGCAAGACCTTAGTCTTGCGATGGTTGTAAAGTAATTTAAAAAACGTACGATCTGCCCATCTTGGACAGGCAGATCGTACTTGCAATGACCGCAATGCTGAACGGGCAGTGTGTGCGTGCGCACACCGGCCCGTTCGGCATTTGTCTCCCGAGCATCATTCAAATCAGCCGAAAATCGTACGATTTTCGGCTTGTTTTCTAGCGTTCTCCTTAAAGACGTGCGACCGTACAGTAGAAACGGTTGCACGTCTTCATTCCCACTGCACGATTCTCGTACGATCGTGGGATTTCCCGCAATTCTCGTACGAGAATCGTGCAGTGTATGGGCACCTTAAGAAGGAAAAACGGATTGTGGGTGCAAAGCAACATACCTGATTCTAATCCTGGCCTAATAATGCTCTCTTGCCTGCTACTTGCCATCACAACAGCCTGTCCCTGAAATATTCCCTAGTCTGCTGCATGCCCTGCACTTGTTCCTGGAATACTCTTTAGTTTGCTACCTATTCTGACCTTAGCCGGTTTCTGGAATAGTCCCTAGTCTGCTGCGTACCCTGGCATTAGTCTATCCCTGCAATACTCTCTAGTCTGCTGCCTGCCCTAACCTTAGCCTGTTCTTGGAATAGTCCCTAGTCTGCTGCGTACCCTGGCATTGGTCTATCCCTGCAATACTCTCTAGTCTGCTGCGTACCGGGGCATTAGTCTATCCCTGCAATACTCTCTAGTCTGCTGCCTGCCCTAACCTTAGCCTGTTCTTGGAATAGTCCCTAGTCTGCTGCGTACC